TCGGCAGCGGGTACTCATGCTGCCAGTGGGAACTGGTCTAAGTCAGTGGCTAAGAGAGGGCTGTGGAGTATTTTTGTTTATTTGTCTTTTTATTTTTTTCATTATTTCAGAGGGCACGTGTGTGGTGGGGTGGAGGTGAGGGTAAGGGTGAGGAGGAGAGAAAGTACGTCCTAACAGAACCTGGTCATACCACGATCCGTTTTTTTCTCTATTTCTCCATCCCATCAGGATCTTGGGTATGTGTCTGGCATGTTTTTCAAGCTACCGAGGCCAGGATTCAAACTACAGTTGGTCATATGTGATCCAGCTATCTCTGCACAGTGCTTAACTACTGTGCTACTGGGCTAGCCCAGAGGGTTCTGGAGTTCTATCACAAGGTTCTTGCCACCTTCTATCCATGTGACCTTGGGCAGGTCACCTTGCTACCCTAAGCATCTATTTCCTCATCTGGAAAATGAGGCCTAAATGAGAAATTGCATGTAAAGCATTTAGCCCAGGTCCCAGCATACTGTAAATATCCCCCAAAATATTAGTCAGTATTATGGAAGAGAGAGAGATTGGGAGTCACAGAGTAGACTGGCGCTTGTTCAAGCTTCTATGAGACCACCTAGGGAGGGTATGTATGTACAGAGGGTAGAAGAAAGTTCAAGTAGAGGGTGAAAAGAGCATTATGTAGAGGCTGGCAGTGTCAGATGATTCAGTAGGGTCAGATGAGTCAGATAAGAAAGAGCTGCCAGGGAGATGGTCTTCACCCAGGAGTCAGTGGAGTCCTTGAAGCCAAGTTTCTTATCAAATGCTGTAACAAAGGGTGCTAAAGGGTGAAAGAATACTGGGTTTGGCAAATGAGCATCCCTTGGCGGGGTGGTGGTGGTGCTGTATGTGTGACGTGTGTAGTTCTGGCAAAGGTTAGAAGGTCACAGGAGATACAGGTGCTACCCTGGTTGTGCTCATACATGTATGAGGGGTCTTCAAAAAGTTTAAAGGAAATGTGTATTATGATAAAACTATGCATGGACCTCAGAAAATTTTGCACCAAAATAAACTTGTACTTTGATTCCTTTTTTTCACTAACTTTTTGAAGTCATCTTGTATTTATTCATGTTGAAGACTCCGATCAGATGAGGGGTGTTTAGGAATGCCTTCCTATCAGTTTGCTCTGAACCACCACCACTCTCTCCCACTCCCATTCCTGGAGTATATGGCTATGGAATAGTATGAAGCTAATTAGCTTCATCTGGACTGAATCCATACAACCTTGACCTCCGTAAAACAGAGGCAAATAATATTGGGCCAACAGAAAAGTCATGACATCTTTTCTGTGCAAAAATGTGTCATGACTTTTCAGACGACCCAATATATTTGTGTCTGTCTGAGAATACAGCCTTTTCTTGAACGAGGCGAAAAGTTCCGTCTTACCTAAAACAGTGAGGGAAACCCCTCGATAAAGGGCCAGGAACCCTTCCTGTTGATAAATAGTAGAAAAAGCATGGAGGAGCCCCCTATAAGATGGTTCCAGCCTGTTCTGCACAATCAACCGGGTTTTGATGAGGTCTGTAGGATACATCACAATGGTGGAAACCATGCCCGCGAGACTCCCAGCCATGATGGAGCTCCACTGGGAAATATGGCCCAGGTCATCTGTGAACAGCACAACACACCTGGGAGAAAATAGGGGAAAGGCCCAAAGGAATCAGCTATGAACATGTTAGAGTGTTCTCTACTACTTCTTGAAATATTTTCCAGTACTTGGAAGTGCCTGAAAAAGTGAGTTACTATCATGCTGTATTAGGATTAAGGAATAACACTTTTAAATTCTACTCTATTCATATAGAGCTAGTTAGCTAAAAGGAAGAGAGGATAGACCTTCTTACTATATGTATTCTAAGCCCTTTACAATTTTCCTTTTCATCTGCATAACTGTCAACTCTGGCTTGCCCGTGGGGTGTAAATGCACAGAAGTATTTGGTATCTACCAAACTGGAATGCACCTTTTCTGACTCTGTTGAAACTGAAAAGGAATGAAATTTCTTGAAATAGTGACTTCGAGCATCCCAGTAGCTCTGTTCTAAAATATATTGGTTTAGTAATAATAAGAGAAAATGCTCTGTCTCACTAGCTATCAGAGAAATGACAAAAAGAGTAACAAGATAACATTAGTCACCCAGCAGACTGGCAAAGATTAAGAAGTCTGATAATCCACCAGCACTATCCCAGCTTCTGAGATAAAAAAAAAAAAGTCTGATAATATCATGTGATAGTAAGGATGAGTGGAAACAGGAAAGTTCACCCACTTCTGGGAGAGATGTAAACTGGTATGGCCACTCTGCACTATGTAGTATAATTGGAAAGGCACTTACTTTCATCCCAACAATGTCATTTCTAGGTACACACCCTAGAGAAATTCTTACATGTGTGCACATGAGGATACCTAGAGCATTGTTCAGAAGTGTAAAAAGCTAGAACAACATACATGTCTAATGGTAGGGAATGGATAAATTGTGGATACTATATAGGTAAAATGAATGAGCTTAGAACTACGTATGACTCAGTCATACTTGGAATGAGAAAAGCATGCTGCAGAGTGATCTATAGTATAAAATACATCTATTTAATTTAGAAACATACTCACAAAAGGATACCTTATTTTGTTCATGGATACATACATAGATACATATGAAGAAGTGTAAAAGTAAACCTCTGAGGAAGTGGAGAGGAGATGGGGCTGGGAATGAAGATGAAGAGGACTATAGTTTTACCTGTGATGTTTTACTTTTTGTATTTACAAAAGACGCTTGAGAATATTTTATATTACCTTTTATGCTATCAAATTTTGGATGGTGAGTATGAGTGTTTGCTGGATAATCTTTCTATTTTTCTGTAGTTTTACAATTTTATCAAAAATTGGGTGGGCCTTTACAAATGCAAAATAGAGAGCCACTCTGTCATAGGCTCTCTTTTTGGAAGGAGGGCATACCCAGTCATGAGGACTCACCTTGGCAGAAACCATTAGATAAGAAGAAGACTTTTACAGGGCACACATACCTGGCCAGTAAGCAAAGGAATTATACTCCTTCTTGCTGATGAGAACAAAATCCCAAAGAGCTTAGAAACCAAAAAAAAAAAAAAAAAAAAAAAAAAAAAAAAGGGGGGGGAGAGGGTGAGAGAAGGAGAGGGATTGCAAAGGTTTGAAATGAAAAGTAGATGAACAGAGTTAGATTAAAGTAAAAGTACTTTGTCTTTTTAAAATGAAAGCATTGGGACCAGCAGACAGCATAATGATTATGTCACTGGACTCCCACATGGCCAACTATGGTTCAAGTCCCAGACCTGGTAACTTGAAACTCAAGCGGGGCGCGTGTGCATGAATGCCCAAAATCCTGAGAGGAGAATGGAGAAGAAGGGATTGTGGTGTGGCTATCCCCCCTGGAGGGGGGGGGGTGATTTCTCCCTTTCCATCTCTCCAATCTCTCTCACAAGCACACGTGCCCTATAGCAAACATTGCTCACTAAAAAAAGAAAAGAAAGAGAGAAAGAAAGAGAGAAAGAAAAAAAAGACTAAAGCATCTCCATCTAGTTCTTTGGCTTTCTTCTTCTTCTTTTTTTTTTTTTTTTTGCACCTTTTTTTCGCACATGTGCTTGCCAGAAAGACAGAACTAGAAAGACAGAAAGTGAGAAATCACCCCCAGAGGGGATGGCCACGCCGCAATCCCTTCTCCTCCATGGATCTTGGGCACACATGTACACCCGCCTGGCATGAGTTTAAGCCACCGGGTCCAGGACTCAAACTGCGGTCGACTACATGGGAGTCCAGCGACATAGTCATTATGCCAACTACTGGTCCCTTTTGGCTTTCAAACCTCCAGTGAAGAGGTGGATTTCCTGTTCCCTCAGTTCTCAGTAGGACAGGGGGCCTTCAGCATGATAAAGATGGTGGGCATTTAGGCGAAACTATATCAGGGGCTTGAGGACAGCTCTTTTGATCCCAAATAAACATTCATTGATTACAAACATTTCCTTCAAGCTGTAGGAACGTCTTGACTTCCTTTTGTTGAGTTACCTTAACTATAGCAACTGAAACTGCCATTTGAATTTACTAGCTACTTTTAAAGATGGAGCTAATGACAGCTGGCTTTTTACCAATGGACCGTTCGCCTCAGTTTTACTGCTTGCACACTCCCTCCTTCCTCCCTACTCTCTTTTGGCCAGTCAAGTTGGAGAGGAACCATAGGTGGAGCTAGGTAGACAGATGAAATAGACATGCTTGACTGGAGAGGTGGCTTGCTGCAAGCTGGAACAACCTAAAAGGTGGAGCTTGAAATGCTAAGAGAAACACTGTGCATTCTCATTGTGCCACCTTTATTCCCCATTCCACTTGGCCACTTCTAGGGCATTAGTTCATCCACTACCTATTTATTGAACATCTACAATGTGCCAGGCACTGTGGTAGCACTCAGCATAGATCTTAAGAACGTTCAACAGTCTTGACAAGGAAATGACTGACAGGGGCAACCAGAGAGGAAACAAGTCCTTGGTTCACTGAATGACTGATGAACTATGAAGAGGAATCCAATCTTCTATCAGTTTATTTTATACAGGAATGTCTTACTATCAAATCTAAAAATTAAAAAGAACCAAAGAAAGCCATTTCTTTTTCTCTGACTCCTGCTATCTGATACAGAGACAAGAACAATCATTTGCTTTAGAACCAGAGTCAAGGCAGGCAACCTTGATAGGCCAGTAATGATGTCATCCTGGTCCCTTAAACTCCTATCTGATTGGCTGGGGCAGCAGTGTTCTTGTTTCTGTTCTTTCTTCCACCCACACACATACCTGCACAGAAGCTTTTTCCAGAGAGAGTGGATAAGCTGGCAATTTGTTGTAAAACCTTTCTTCCAGCCAGCACAGATATTACATATTTCAATTTGTTGTAATCCCTTTCTTCCAGCCAGCACAGATATTACATACACCCTGGACATATGTAATTAGAGCTGCCAGAGCTTCAGCCTAACACAGGTTAGCAGCCAATGCAGCCAAACACAAGTTCAAGAAGTGGTTGTACGATAAGAAATGGTGTTTGGTTTTGAACAATTTCAGAGCCTCAGGGATCCAAACCAATGTTTGAACAGATAGACAGGCAGTTGTGGGGTAAAACTGTGTGGAAGGCTATCTTCCACTTGATGCATTTGGAAGCCATAATACTGTGTTAGGTGCTATTTATGACAATAACCTAGCTCCCAATAGACTCTTTTGAGTAGATTCTTTTGATCATAAATCTGAGTAGGCAGTCATTTCAGCTGTGCAATGGTGGACAGAATCCTGGATTAAGCAGTCAGAAGGCCTGGCTTCAAATTCCTGCTCTGCCACTAATTGTATTTGTGGACAAGCTATCTAACTACTCCATCCCCTGAGCACTCTGGATGTTCATGCTTTGTTCAAGCCCATAATCTTAGGCTGTACCATTACCCTCAGCCAACTGTTTTGCAAATCTATGATCAGGAAGAAGAAATGAATCAGTATTATGATGAACTTTATGTAGGAAGGATGACATTATGATTAATCAACCACTTTACTTTCTGTCTAACCATGCTTTGCTATTCACCAAAACACATCTTTATGGTTTCCAAGAGGAAAATAATCCTGCAGGGAAAAAAATGTCTTAGCAAACCTAGCCCAGGTTTTTCCTCTCCCACACATTTCTCTCTCTCTCTCCTCCCACTGTCACCAGCCTGTTTCAGCTGCCTTTGGATGCCTAGGGGACTAGTGCAACAGGTTCCTAACTGGTCCTGCCACCCCCAGTCTATCTCCTAGCTAGTCATCCTATCCTGCCATCATGTGACAGTAATTTGCATCAAATTACTTTAATCAGCACCACTTCCTTAAAAAAAATCTCCCACAGCTACGTTTGCACACCAAATAAAAAGCTCATTCCAACCTGTTTTTCAGGCACTATTTCTGGTCATTGCTGTAGGCTTCCCTGCCTCTGTGCCTTTGCTGACATTTCTTGCAATATCTTTCTCCCCACTTTTGCCCAGCAGACTCCTACTCATTCTCCCAAGGCCAAACTCAAAATGTTTGTTCTCCTCTGTGAAGCCTTCACACCTTCTCCCTTCCCATCCATCATCAGAAGGGTACAGTAGTCCCCCTTAATACACAGGGAATCCATTCCAAGACCACCCAGTGGATGCCTGAAACTGCAGATAGTATCAAACTCTCTTTCTCTCTCCCTCTCTCTGTGTGTGTGCACGAGTGTGTGTGTATACTTTAAAAAGTTTATAGAAAGTGTGTATTATAAAAAACTATACATGGATTTCATTTTTTTGCACCAAGATAAACTCTAACTTAATTAATTACTTTAATTCCATTTTTCTATAGATTCTTTGAAGTCCCCTCATATCATGTTTTTCCTATACCTACATAATTTATAAATTAGACACAGTAAGAGGTTAACAATAACTAATACAATAGAACAACTATAATTTTGGGTTATCAGAAAAGTCATGATGCATTTTTGCATAGAAAAACAGAACAAATACCTCCTGACTTTCCTGACAACCCAATAGTATGCCGTAACAAGAGTTAGTGAATGTGGTCTCTCTCATAATACCTTATTGTATTCAACTCACCCTTCTTTTTGTGATGACGTGAGACGATAAAATGTCTACATGATGAGATGAAGTGAGATGAATAACATAAGCCTTGTGACGTAGTGTTAGGCTACTACTGACCTTCTGATGACATGTCAGAAGGAGGATCATCTGCTTCAGGTGATCCTGGATCACAGAGCTATGACAAGGCATGATGATTTTCTGGACCACGGTTGACCATGGGAGTGGAAAGGGAGAACACAGGTAAGGTGAGACTACTGTGTATTTCTATAGTACTTTATCCATGGCAATTGTGTGCTATCTTGTGATGGTTAAGTACACGTTAGTCTTTTTTTTTTTTTTTTTTTTTTTTTTTTACTGTTAAGCTCTTGGGATGCAGAAACCATGTTTCTTTCATCCTTGCATCGTCCCCAGCAGTATGATGCATGCAGTGGGTACTTAAGTTAGCCCAACTAAGTTAATCTCAATGAATGCAGAGAGAAAGGAAGCATGATATAATAGAAAAAAATATAAGATTTGAAGCCAGAAGGCCAGTGGTAGGCTACCTCAGCTCTATCCCTGATGAGTGGTGTGAACAATCTGAGCCCAATCATGCATCTGTAAAGCGGGCCTAATACTTCCTGCCTTATGGATCTTACAGAGCAGAAGATAGGAATTGTAAAAGTCTAACGTACAGGGAACCAGCAGTTAACGTAATGGCTATGTCGCTGGACTCCCACGTAGTCGACCGCGGTTCGCGTCCCGGACCCGGTGGCTTAAAACTCACGCCGGGCGCGTGTGCGTGCGTGCCCAAGATCCCGAGAGGAGAATGGAGGAGAAGGGACTGCGGCGTGACCATCCCCCCTGGGGGGTGATTTCTCGCTTTCTGTCTCTATGTCTCTCTCTGTCTGTCTGGCGAGCGCACGCACCCTATAGTGAAAAAAAAAAAAAACCTCTCCAAAAAAAAAAAAGTCTAATGTACAGTCACGTGCCAAAATGATGCTTTGGGCCAAATATGGACCACAAATATGAGAATGGTCCCCTGAGATTACAATGGCCATACCATATAGCCTAGGTGCACAGCAGTCTATATGAACTAGGTTGGTGTTAAGTGTTAGGTTGTTGGGAAAGTCATGATGTATTTTTCTATCTTTTTCTATGCAAAAAATGCTTCATGACTTCCTTGACAACTCAATACATTCTATGATGTTGGCATAATGACAAATTCACCAAAGGAAGCCTTTTTTTCTCAGGAGGTATTACAGTTGATAAATGATGCACAACTATATATCTACTAGTGGTTAGAAAAAGGCTATAAGATACTTAAACTGGCCTTTGAAATTTGCCCCCACTCCTTGGTACACAGTCTACCTTATCCAAGGGAAGATTTCTATACCACTTTGTGGAGAACAGTGTGACCTGAGGAGAAATTGAGTCATTAAAACTCAGAGCCTGTTGTTTTGCAGACTGCAGGCTAATATTGCTGTGGGCAAGCAGAACTGGGAGGAAGAGAGCTTTGACAGACATGCCACATGATCCTACCCATGATTCCCTCCCCAGAGGAAGGGAAGGGAACTCCACTCCCAGGGCAGGAGGACGCAGTGGTAAGGGTGATTCCATAGGCTTGTCAGCTGCCAGGTGAGCCTTCCAGCTCTGGCCTTCCTAGTGACAGACTCAAGGTAAAATCTGACTACTAACTGTCCAAGGCTGAACTATGCAGTGGAGACTGGTTTAACTGACCCCACCGAAGACTGTTTTTCTAATTCAGAGCCAAGGCTAGTCTTCAGGGTTGGCACTATGCCCACCTAATGGAGAGCATGGAGATTATCCCCCCAAAATAGAAACATCTCTTCTTCCTGAAATGTCATCACTGCCATTTCATTCTTTTAGGCTTCCTTTCCACTTCCAATACAATTATCTCTGAGTTCTGAGGAAACTTCTAAGACTCATCTTGCATTTACTGCCTTATTTCCTGAGGAGCAGTTTAGGAAAAGATGATGTGGGTGAAGATGGGGAAAGTGCAAAGAATGAGGCCAGTATGCAGCTAGGAAGAGGAGGAAGCTAGTCTGAGGGAACGCTTCGCAGCTTGAGGAGGGGAAGTTGCTGTCTCTGTTGGATTAGAGTCAAGCTTCATTTTATGGGGAGGTGGGCAGAAATCTGCGGCCTTTTTATGACAATGGATTGGGCTCTCTCCCCCTACCAAGCATTTTCTTCTTGGGAAGCAAGAAGCAAGCACACATGCAAAACACACACATGCACGCACGCACCCGCACCTTCCTAAGAGTCTCTCTGTCCTCCTAAGTTGGCCAAAATGGTTTCCGAGTTGGTACGGTGGGAATGGCCAGGGTTCAACTCTGGAGACCTCTGCATTCCTTTCTCCTACATCTTTTGCTCACTCCATTCCACCTCAACCCGATGCAACCCGGAAAGCCTATCTGGGTCAGAGTTGCATGCCACCAAACTGCATCTTGCAAGGCCGAATCCTTTGTGGGGCCAGCGGCTCTGAGGGGCTCCGACGAGATCCGGAAGGAGGCTGTTCCTACTGCAGGGCCCCGACCCAGGCGGCGACGGGCCACGGAACCCGGCTCCCGGCCGCCCACTCCCGGCCCCGCCCGCGCGCGCCCGGCCCTTACTTGCGGTAAGCGGCGAGCTGCACAACGCTGCAGGGGAAGAGGCGCAGGCACGCCACCGCGTTCCCCTTCCACAGGGCCCGGGGCCCCTCGGCCC